ACAAAAGTAAGTTATTTAAGTATTTTATTCATAACTAAAGCAAACAAAAGCAGATAACACCAGACTAGACTACACAAAATAGTTATCAAAAGGAATTATAAAATAACCGAACTTATTTGCTTATAATAAAGGTCAACTTCTTAGATACAGTAGTTTGTTTATTGTTTAATAAGAAACAAGTTATTCATGCATTTGGTATTGAAATTTGACTAAAAATGTTAATAAGTTATTTTAAAAAAATTTAAATTGTTGAAAACATGGGTTTGGAAATGAAAATGATATTGCTCATTTTCTTATAAAAATTCTTGAGATGTTCTGTTACGTATACTGGCAATAGGCACATATATTTTAAAAAGTAAATTAAGTTCCCTGACCAAGTCATACCTAACATTTTTAAATCACTCTGAAGGCATAATCTAGGGCCATGTTGAGAGTAGGACAGGAGAAAGTGAAATGTTCCACATGTTGAGGTACTTTTTTCAAATAGTCATACAAGATACTTGATCTTAGACTGAAATGAAACAGGTAGTTTTCAAACTTACCGTGCTCAGGTAAAAAATGAGACAAGGGAGTTAGAGGCTAGTTGTAACACTATTTGAAAACAATATTTATATTTTTAACTGCATTTACGATTTCTTGTTTATAAATGCTTTTTTTATAGCATAACTATTTATTCATCTCATGGAGGAAAAGAAATTCATGCAATTTTGTTGATTTTATCTCCAGAAACGCACTATCCATCTGTTACAATTTGCCTCTGACCTGAGGCAAATAGTAACTACTAAAACAACAATATTTGAAAATACTTTTTCATTACCTTTCTTTCATTAATTTAATCAAAATACTCGTCTTCATTCTTTTTCTCTTTTTTTTCTTTAACTTTTCTCTTTCCCTTATTCTTTTCTTAATCTTTTTCTTTTTGTTTTCATTTCTTATTATCTCTTCATATTCTTTAACCAGTGCTGCTTTTTTGGTTGTGTCAATTAGCATGTCAGATTTTTTCTGTCTCGGTCTTTGTTAGACTGCTTCCGAGGTGAAGCCTTAGGGTGAAGTTAGATCTTTGAAAGTAAAAAATAGATTTTTCTATTTTGGGAAGGAAAACTGGGTAGAATAAAGTAATCTGCATGTTAATATTTAAAGCACATAGTTTAACTACATGAATCAAAATCTCGAGGCTAGTTGTAACCCTAGATTTTGCATCAACTTTCCCAACGTATGGCTTCTGATTTATAAAAAAATATTGCGATTACTAAAAGACTTTAAAAAGCATTTTAAAACTTGATATGTATACCAAATAAATAGGTAAAACAATTTTATGAAAAGATCAATTAACATACCTTAAACCAAAATTTACGATTTTTTTCCTATTAACTAACTAAGACTGAGAACGCGAACACAATCTCTCCCTACGCGTTTCGGTGGGGCACTGACTGTGCTTACGTTGCAAGGCCTGTCATAAGTATCCTATTTATCAAAAATTCTAATAAAAATTTTTAAAAGCCACTGCATAACATACGTATACTTTACCCCGTTATAATTATCCCTTAGCTCTCCTGCTTTGAAACATGTAAAGAATAAAGACTCTTAATATAGTTTAAGTTTATTCTTCATTCCACTTAGCTTAAAGTTTGTTATAATAAAAGGACTTCCAGTAGCACTTTGGAATGCTAATATTATTGTCGATGGTTAAATTTAGAGTCATTAATTAATTGTCAACTATTTCATTTCCATAAATCGCGTGATAACAGCGTACATAAACAAAGTGAATATAAATTATTATATCTATAAGTGACTGACAGCTAAGAGGGTTCCGATTACCAGTTTGTCTCGACTCGCAATACTGTTCAAAAGGTGAGAAGAAGAATGAGAGTAGTAAAAAAATAAGGATGTAGTCCCTCAATTATCTTTGATACACTTGACAAGATAAATAAAGAGAAATTCTGCTTGAGAAACTGTGCATTCACTTCAAATACGCTGCTTAAAATGACAAACTTCAGACTGGTTTTTAAAAAGAAAAAATATCAACCGACCAACCTTATTCATTTTGCTGCCTTCTGTAAAGCAAACAATGTGCAATCAATTTTCAGCAATAACTTCATAATCACAGAAATCTGTAGCTCAGAAGTAGTGGGGGACGAATATCGCAAAAGGGTAAACTTCCATTTATGCAGTCTTCCATAGTTATCACTTGACACTACCATCGAAAATGATATTCTTACATACAATATCTAAATCAATAGGCGGAAGTCCTGTAAGAACAATTTTGAAATAAAATTATGTTTTCCGGTAAGCAAATCTAAAAAGTCCATAATGAGGTAACTGATCATCAGAGGGTTAACATGTGTAGCCCAAGACGTGTTTGAATTTATTGAAGCGGAAATAACTTATTCAGCAGGACAATAATTTATTTTTTCGATGAAGGTGAGAGAAAAGTCTCGATAATACATATTTCCGTACGTCTAAAGTCTAATTATGTGCAGAATTATTTCCCCTTTTTTTACCAAATATTTCTTTCATTTTCAGACTATTTTTTTACCTGATTTTTTTTATCTTACATAAATTTATTAGATTATTCTCTTGTATAAATTATTTCGAAAATTAGTTTCCTTTATTACCTAAATATGTAGAGTCATTAGGCTTTTTGATGCTGGAGAAGTGAAAAATGAGCAATGCCCTCGCTGGGATTCCAACATGGACCTCTCAAATACGCGCCGAGTGTGCTACCGTTACACCACGAAGGCATGCAGAAGGGAGGGAGAAAGTACCTTATATATTTCGCATTTTAAATGGCACTTAAAAATTAGGGAACCCAGTCGCAAAATCCTAGTAATCATCACCTTTTAGTTCGGGAGCCGCTGTAGAGTCATTAGGTTATTTTTGAAGCAAGAGAGATGAAAACTGGCTGGAATCTAAACCTGGACCTCTTAAAAATGCACCTAGTATGCTACCGTTGCACTACGAAGACATGCAGAAAGGAGGGAGAAAATACCTTATAAGTAACTCAGGAAGTATGAGATAACCGAACTGATTTGATTGCTAATGAAAATCAACTACTTATATATATGTATCAGTTTGTAATACTATATAAAATATTAATTACCTAAGTTTATGAACTACTGTGTACTCATTTCACCATTAAGCATATATTCCCAAGATATTTTAAGCTTTTGAACTTGCTAAATAAGTTCAGAAATTCAAGAATGTAAATAAACTTAGAATTACGAAAGTATTGCTTTGGCATAGTGTTGAGGAGGAGGATTTAATAGAGTTTATAGTACGTTTTTTCGCTGTCTGTTGCCTACCACTCCATTGTAACATTTGAAGACACAGCCCTGCTAATTTGTATTATCTCTATATAAATCAGCCATTGGTAAACTTCGAAATAATCATTTCTCTTTTCTTCGCTAATGTACTCCAAATAACTTTCTGAAAACTTTCCAATGAAAATTTCTAATCCTATAGATTCCCATTAAAATCGTTTGGTTATAAAAATATACTTAGATAAATCTAAGTGCTAAAGGTAATACATATTTCCATATTTGGAAGTTTCCTTATAATGTTTGTTTGCAATGCTAATATGTATGTTTATCAATACCTTTTATTTTCTTTGTTAGCTATCGCATTATTACAGTTATTCAAGTAATTAGCCTGCTTGTTAGATATTTTTTACTTGTTCTTGTGATATGTAATTCTATTTATTTATTTTTATTTTTCTCTTGGCTACATATAGTAATATTAAACTGCGTATTAATTTGCGTTATTTACTTATTATTTCTTCGAGTTCATTTCTACTAAGTAGGTTTCCACCTTAAATAGATATTTTGGAAAAATTTTATTGCGTATGTGCACAAAAGCTAGTAATTAGAAATATAATAATTTATTATTAGGAATATGAAAACACAGAGTTCAAGTAAAAGCAGACAGATAAATGAAAAATAGTAAATGCTATAAAAGGAAGTCAATTAAAATTTTGAAATTAACAAAGATTCAATCTAAGATTGACATTAGTTCTAACTAAATGCTATATCATTTAGAGGATTGATCTAATACTGTTCTTTCTGCATCATTTCTTAGTGTACGTCTTAATGTTGGCGCTTAAAGCAAAATGCTTATTTAACAAGATAAATTTTCTAAAAATTGCATTAAAAAATCAGACCTAACCTGAAGAGATTTCTTAATTAGATATTTGACGAATAAATGTCAAATGAGTCATATAGAATACAAGCAAAAAATAATTTTTTTTTTAAAAAAGTACATTTTGGCTACGTACGAAAATTTTTAATGTAGCTATTTAAATCACTCTACTGAAACAAATATCAGCATGAAAGAAAAGTATTCAAATGATGTAAAGAAGCAATGCAAAATTCCATTTCATTTCCTATTCTTGTATCTTTACCATGTTATTATGTGCTATAAAAGACTTATAGCTTGTCTCATTTTTGAGACTTTTGTCGCAGGTTTGATAGATTATTTTGTCGTACGTTGTCGCTAACGTACCGACATTTATATGTGGCAAATAGAAAATTTTCTCAATGGCAAAACATTTATATACTTAGAAATCAGACAGTTATTAAATAAATAAGGAATTTGTGTTATTATAATTAATAAATTATTAAATATTAATTAACAAAAAAGGAATTTGTGATTTGTAAGCAATATTTTTTTTCTAATAAAGAATATTATTATTAAATTAAAATGGAAATTTCGCTTCAGCAAATCATCAAATAGAAGTACAGAAAAATTTCCCTTTAATAATTAGTCCTTTTTTAAATTTTGGCTTATTATAGGGCGGCCATAAACAAATGTATTCTTTCATCCTCTCATAGTTATGAGAAGTAAGCAACTGCATAGAAAGACCTCTGATTGTGTTTCAATCAGAACAAACCTTTTAATCAGAAGAAACCTGATTAAAAGTCTTATTTTTATGAATTCTCTTCTTAAGATATTTTTTCATACTTTTCATAGTTTTGCATTATTAATTTATTATATTTTATTTTTAGATGCGAAAAACAGTATTTATTTTCGTCGTCGTGCTTGCGCTTGGTCATTGCTCAACCATACCTGAACAGCCAGAACCAGAGTTACCTGCCTCACCTGCAGATGAGCGTTCATCAACGGGTTCACCAGAGATATCAACCAAGACACCACCACACACCCACGAAGAACATCCGAAAGATGACCCTGACCATTCTGACCATGAAGGCCATGAAGATGAGCCAAAATCTATTAAAGAAGTGAAAGATGAAGGTGATCATGAGCATCCAGGGCACGATCATTCTCCTGAAACTGGTCATGACCATAGTTTGGATCATCCCGATGAGTCCTCTGTAAGTGAATCGCAGGACGATTCCAAACAACAGGAGCAGTCATCTTCTGAAAATCCATCTGAAGGTGGTGATCCTAAGACCAGTGGTGATGCTGACAAAAGTCGCTTCAAAAGAGGATTATGGAGGCGGAGATTGGATTAAAGCATTTTTTAAACAAAAAAGCTTGAGCCTACAATTAATTTAATGTAACATAATGCTTCGTAAAAAAACTCACTAATTATGATGAAAATTGGTGTTATTATTGCACAAAAGTTTTGTACTTACTACTGAAAAATTAATTACTACAATAGTGAGATTATTAAATTTCAAAGAAATTTATCAAAAAGGTTAATTAATCGCTTTGTTAGCATAATATGCGCATACCATTGAAATAAAAAATCTGGCTATATAATGACTCTGAATGTCAATGAAATAACATGTAATAAGATTTTTAGCAGGTGAAATGGTTAGGATAACCGCTTTTGTTGCAGTAGATTCACTTATCGTGAGAATAGTGTAGTTGCAAGAAAGTGCTCCTGTCAGTAGATATCTGTATAAGTTAGATCATTCCTCTTAGATTTTCCTTCATTTGCTACATGCCTTTTACAAGAGCATTTGTACGTACGTAGATAGGTGGAATTTATTTAGATATGGTTCACGATTTTTTGCATTGAATAAAAAGATATTTTTTAAAATCCTGTGGTCTTTTGTTTCAGCAGGGTAAACATTCACTTAAATTTCATTAAATCTGTAATATAAAGGACAATATGAAAATTTTAATGACTTTTTCTCAACTTAATCATTCTATTTTTTCCACGATTTCACAGAATAATTTTACATGTGACTTTCCAACATTGCTAATATAAATAAACATAACAAGAACACATTTTTAATGCACATCGTTTATAAATATATAGTAATTGGTTTTTATCTATAATAGTAAACTGTTATAGATAAAAACCAATTACTATATACTGCTGTTTCCTGCAGCGTCATCATTCTAAACACCATATTCAATTTAAAATTGGGAAAAGAAGTAATCAAATATTGGGAAAACTTTCTGCTTCTTAAGAAGAGGGACCTACATCAGATGAGCTTCGAAGTCAATAGAGTTTCATTCAAAATCTACCTTACTCTACGATTGCTTTTTCGCATAGTCTTATATTTTACGTTTAGATTAGTTCCAATTAGATCACGTTGAGCATTACAGAAGTTGAAATAGGCCGTAAAATATAACTTATCGTTATTATTTCGTTCCTTTCAGGCACAAACAGAAAATTGCTAGCTTTTATACATGGAATTTGTGACTCTCTTACGAAGTATAAGTTTTTTAAAACATTTTTAAAGTCCGTGTAAGATGTGTGACTTATTTCTACACCTTCCTTGTTAAATTTTTAACTGTATTATACATTATTACTTTTATTATTCATACAGATATAAAATTATAGAAAAATGTTGAAAACGCCATATTTAATACACTATTGACGACTTATAAGTCGTTTGCTTTTTATTATATAGAAAAGGAATGAATGCCTTATTTATCTGAAAAATTCATTATTAATTTAAAAAATAACAAAGCCAGTCAGGTTTTAAAAGTCTGTTCAGTGATCCATTAAATATGATTATATTACAATATCACTTAACAATTTGGTAAAAGTACGAAAGTTTGGTTAAAAAAGAAGTACGTCATTGTTTCAAATTGTTTTATGCCCTTATTAAGCTGAGTTTACATTAAATCTGTTCTGTTTATTAGCCTTAGGATGTTTACTAGCGAGAAAACCGTCTCACTCTTTGTTTTAGAAGCAGAAATTCAAATATAAAATTCAAATTAATAATAATTTTAAGAAACTTTTTAATATCCTCATGAAACTAAAATACAAAATAAAATCAAATAAATTCTATAAACAGTGGTTCTGTAAACAGTTTCTTAAAATTAAGTGATAATTAGTTGACATGACCACATAAGTTAGAAATTTTTGCGCTATTAATTTCTTCTTACGAAGTTAAGATTTTCTGTCATTTTAAAGTATATGATGTACTGTTAAATTAATATTCACAAATCTAAAATAATGCTCGTTAGGTAAATTAACTTAATTTCGGGTATTATAAGAATACTTCATTTTGTAAACAAATCAACAGACCATTGCTATTAATTTTGCATAACTCATTCATGTTATTCAAGCTTGCAACTATTTTGAAAATATTATTTCTATTACCTGCGGAAATTACACAAATCTTTCTTAGATGGCTAAAAAACATAAATTGTCTACAGATTTGACTTAGGGTAGCTTTTTAACCACATATAAAACATATAAACATATAAAAGGCATGCAAAACAAAATTCATGATGTCTCATTTCAGCCTTTCCTACCTTAACTTTTCTTCAGATGGCAACAAAAATAGTGCACTTCAGGCATTTTTCTCCATTCTGTTGCTTCCTTATATATATATAAATTGTATGCATAATAAATAAGATGCATGTAATATAAATTTATAGAAAGAGGGAGGCAAAAAAGAAAGAAATTTAGAACCTAATTCACAAAGACATGTAAGAAATAAAATCAAAACCAGTAAAATCTCAAAAATTTCCGAATAAAAGCATCAACTAATTGTTTTCAAACCAGAAGAATTTCCGAAATTTCCGAATCCTCTATTTATTATGTATAATACAATATATATTGTATACATAATAAATAGAGGATACAACATATAAGGAGGACACAGCATATGATACTGTGAACTTGGCCCTCTAAACAGAAGTGCCCCTTATTCAGATGGATTGAGAATTTTTAATTTTAAAAAGCATTTTAACCTTAATTTCAGCTTTCATAAATTTTGAGTGCTACTATTTCATGTTTCTTAAAAATATTACAGATAGGTATGATATGCATATTATTACAAAAAAATAACTAATATTTATAATGTATTCGTTAAACAGTGAATAAATTTCATCTGAATGTACATACTATTATTTAAATATTTTAACATACATTAAGAATGATCTTATTATAAGAATGCCTGCAATATTTATACTGTATATGACAATACACAATATACATAAGAAATAATTATTATAACGCACTATATAATGCCGAATGCCTTCTGTATTTATACTGTGTATGGTAATTATGTATAAGAAGTGAAAGTTTATCAAAAGCGAAAGGAAATTTATAAAGTTTAGAAGAGTTCTAAGAAATCGTAAATGGTAACTAAACGTTAGACAGACAGGCAGCAAGTTATCGCTAAATCTAAAACAACAATTCAAACTTGAGAAGGATATTAAAGATCCTTTATTTAAAACTAAATAAGAACAGAAAACACACTTTGGGTTCACGACTCAGCCAGCCACTTGTGGCGAGATAAGTATAACATTATGTTCAAATGTAAAATTTAAATTCAAATAAACTAATAGCCAAAGGCTACATAGAACAGTTAATGCGAAGTTGGCTGAAAACTTAACCGGCATAGATATCAACTATTGGCAATCAGTATAACGTAAATCTTATCTTATCTAGCAATCGAGTAATGTAGCCTCAAGAGGCAGAATATGCTCTAATCTAAGAACCTCAGTATAAATACTTGCGAGCTAATTTACAGTCTGGCGGAAAAACGGAAGGAAGAAGTGGTAGTAAAGATCCAAAACATAAAACAACTAGCTAATTAACGTAAAGGAACCTTTTAAAGTAATTTAATGCACACTTCAAGTTTACTTAAAATAATCACACAAACTCGTATCCTTTCCCTTACTGCTCACAAAAATACACTGCTTCAGATAAATTGTTAAATTTAAGGTTAGAGGGGGAAAACCCTTAGTCTGGAGTAGATTTTGCATAAATCCCTATCGATTTCGAGATCGATCTGATACAGGTCCCTTATTGTGGACTGTAACTATAAAATAAAGGAACTAGTTTCTTCGAAATTCAACTTTCATTAATTCGTAATCTAACCGCTCAATTAACAGCCATTCAAAGCGAAACGAACATCATTCTATCAAAACCAAGAAGGTTGTATTCTATCCGTCTTAATCAAGACACTTATATCAAGCAAACAATATTGGTGCATGCGGTGTTACAGGATTCTCTGTTAGGCAACGACGGTGAAGGAGAAAGTTTTCGCTTAACAGACTGTCAGGCGCCAACATCTCACCCGACGTTGAAATCCTAATTTCAAAACAAATATACATAATTTAAAACATTCAAAGGTAGACACATATTAGTTCTAAATAATTAAATGCAGTATATGAATTTAAGAAACAAACAAAATGAATTTTATAGCAGAAAAAATGTCCAATATTAATATAAGGAATTATAACACAATTTCAGTACTTCAGTCGTTTGTAGGCAGAATATATATGTTAGACATTCCACGTTTTACCAGTCTTTAAGGAGTTTTGATTAACAACACGGATTTTATCATCGCTTCCAGGGATGATATCATAGATACGGCCTATTAATCCAAGTGCATAGAAGTAGTTTATCCTCTTTAACTAATACAAGAGTACTTATTTTTATATTGGGCTTTTGAAAGAACCATTTACTTCTCTGCTGAAGATTAATTAGGTAATCTCTAGTCCATTTTTTCTATATTACTTGGTTAATTTTGACAATTTTCTGCCAGCGGGAAAGTCTATTATCGGGAATTTCTTAAATGCAAGCTTCAATCAGAGCATTAAGAAGTCTTCCGATTAAAAAATGACCAGGGTTCAAAGTTTCGAAGTCATTGCGATCTGGAGATAAAGGTAGTAAAGGTCTTCTATTTACTATAGATCCAATTTGATTTATACCAGCCAAAAATTCTTCGAGAGTTAATTCTGTGTTTCCAGTAGTTCGTTTTAGATGATGTTTAAAGGATTTCACTCCGGCTTCATAAATACCACCAAAACCGGGAGATTGAGGTAGACTGAATTTAGAAACGATTGATTCAGAAGCTAAATATGAAAGTGCGAAATTTTAACAAGGATTAACAGCTTTTTCATGTCGGAATTGGCTTCCACAAAGTTGGTTGCCTTATCTAAATATATAGTCCAGCCATGTCGCGAGAAAAATCTTTTTAATGGTGCAATTACAGCCTGTGATGTTAGATCTGTAACAAAATAGAGGTGTATCGCTCGAGTAACTTAGCACACAAAAATGATAACATATATCTTATTTAAGGTATTTCTTCGTTGGTTTTTATATTTTATGTAAAAGGATCCGTATAAATCAGTGCCAGTTATGGAAACGGGGAATCCGCGACACTCTTTATTTCGGTTATGGTGCCATAAGTTGTTGGGCTATTTTGGATTTATTTTTAAAACAGGTAATGCATTTATGTAGTATTTTACGGGCATTGTTTCTGCCATTTAATGGCAAAAATTCCTGCCGAACACAATGAAGCAAAGTTTGAGCACCAACATGTAAATTTTTTAAATGAAAGTGTTGCATAAAAGTAGCATTTTAATTTTCCACCCAAGTGTTCAATTTTCTTCAAGGTAAGGATTTAAATTACTTAAGTGACTATCCTTTAGATTTTACCACATCTAAGGGCTTTGAATTTCTATTTTGAATAAAATTCTCTGTACTAGTTTTACAATGAATAGCTTGACTTACGCAAATTATCTCTAGTAATAGGACCTGATGACCTCTTACCTTGTCGACAACTGGAAATAAACCTATAAATAAAACTAAGAATATGAATTAGTTTCACAAAACTGTTA